CTGAGTATGCTAGGGGAAAGCAATCTAAATAGAGCTAGGGCAGGCAGACTTTAGAAATATAAATGTAGACTTTAAAATGTTAGGGAATTTCCTGTTTTAACTTACAGCGAATTAATATTAATTGCTTGTGTCACATACCAATTAAAGCAAGCTCGCTACTATTATAGTGAGCATATAAGATTTAATGGTTGCTACCGGATAGAACTATGTGATAACCAGAGGAGCAGCATTATGGAAGGAATAAACTTAAGCCCTAGCTGATCTTTACTTAGGGCTAGAATTGCAAGTCATCACCATTAGTCGTAAAGTGTATTTTATATATATTTTAATTAGTGGCAATGGTTCTGGTAGAAGTGCAATTAAAAAGTACTGTCGGTCTTCGAACTGTTGGATGCTGTGCCCATGTTATGACAGTAATATGGTATTTGGGTTGGGCACGGCATCAGACTAATATTTTGCTTCCTGCTCAGTTCCTGAATGATGTATTGATGTGCAAATTAGAGGCAAATAATTTCTTAGCTTTCCTAGATGCGTTAGTCATCCAAAATTCTAACAACACCATAGGTCACACTGTGTATAGAAGACAATGAATTTCGCCATTATCCTTCACAGTTAGTTACCGTGAGCAAATCTTTGTTACAGAGAGCACAAGGGATCTGTGGCAGCAAACATTGAGCCGTCGAGCTTCCGCACGTCAAGCAGGTTCTGCACGTTAACAAGCTTCAGGCCCGCGCTTATGTCACAGTGACCGATTGAAGCCGGCCACAGTCAACCATGTTCAGTACTAGCATTTGTCAGGGGTGTCACAGACAAGATTTGCTACATCTTGAAGCGAGCTGATATGAAGCATCAAGGTTCAAGGATGTTTGCAGTTTGTGATCATATCCTGGACGGCCCCAACAAGATAGACGTATAAAAAAGATTTGATAGACCACAAATCCTCTAAAAGGTACTCTTCCTATCAAGGACCGATACCTGAGACTATTGAAATAAAAAAAAATTTCAATACAGAAGGAGGCTTGGTACTACCACCTGCTTAAGACCCTGTAATTAATGAAATTAAAATTAAACCCAAGCATACCATTGCAAGACTTCAAGACACAGTAAGTTCATTCTGTAGATCGGACCATAAATAAAAATTAAAAATCTGAAGGTACTCCGGGTTAACACTGACATTGGGACGTCAGTTACCTCAGTCCGCCGTAACCATGGGTGTTGGAAAGCACCCGAAACGTCTGGAATTAAAAATCAAAGAAATAAAACGCGATAAAATCGATAAAAATAGTTGTTAAAAAAACTGCATTTGTGAAAATAAAAACTTATATATCTTCAAAACCCCGACTTTTTTTAAAGCAATTTCTTAACCATTTCATTGTTTTAATTACATATTATCATATCTATATGCTTTTATATGTGGGCACCCATGGCCGAAGTGTCTATGAAGAGTGGGCAATCCCCCACATATATAAATGCATATATAATAAAGTACACATCTGTAAATATAATGTCATATGTAAATATAGTTTGGCGTGAAATGAATATTTGTCAGTGCCAAATGACCACAAGGTTACGATTAGAAAGTTTTAAATCATCGTCATCATCATTCCAGCCTTTCACAAGTCCACTGCTGAACATAGCCCTTCTCTAAAGAATGCCACAAACACAGTCCTGAGCTACCTGCATCCATCCACTTCGCGTCTTATCAGGTCGTCACACCATCTAGTGGGTAACATTTTTCTTCCCCATCGGTTGTCGGTTCTTCGAGCTTTATGGTATATTCGAGGTGTAAATCGTTATGAGTTAATTAAGCTAAAATTATTCATTTGAACGGTAATATTTAGAAGTATATAAAAGCAATTATAAAGTTATTTTTCGCTAATCGCGGCAATAAATTTGGTGAGAATATTATAGGCTTTTTTTCACATCAAAATATATACGTAAGGTAGTTTGAAATAAAAGTACTGTGCAGTAATAATTTTGGTGCCTTTTTAATTTTGGTTAAGCCTACCGTGGAATTATATGGTAATTTGTTTAAATAGGGCAACCTAGTTCATCTTAAGTTTACCGTTGAAATATTTATGGAACCATTTTCCTAACATTTTATAAATACTATTATGAAATGTTGTATTATAGTGTATCTCACGTTTCTTAAAAATCCCAGATATTAGATGTTAATTTAGTGGCTAGTGGTCATGCGTTGCATGAGCATTTACCGCAGAGCACGTGGTAAGCCAATAGTTAAAATGCTATTAAACATTTCATTGATAATGGCAGCGATCTAAAGTGATCAATGATGCTGTATCGATTATTTTTTATTCCTTTGACTTATTTAACTAAAACTTTTGAATTTTTTCCACAGACACAATGTACTACAAAGTCCCGCCAGTATTTCAATTTGAAGACTACATGTCAAGTATGAGTGAACCGGATGGCATGTACTGCATGACGAAATTTGCCCTTGTTTCAGTGAGTGAGAGAACAGTGAGCTGTTAAATATGATTCACGTAAGTTATTTAACTTAATATGAATGGCTGAGTGAAATATGTGTATATGCTTTATTGTACACCACAAAACCCAAACAAGGCTACAGGGAGAAAAACTTAGTAAGTAGGTACAATAAGGCGATCTTATCGCTAAAAAGCGACCTGTTTCAAAAAACTTTGAAATTAAGGCATCTCTAGAAATCATGCCAGGCAGACATTCATTATAGCTTGAAACTTACAAGGATTAATTTCAAGTCCTTTTCACCTAGTCCTTTCATTGATGCCAGGTCGACATTAATGACGGATCAGCCACCATCACGGTAGCAAGGCACTCCAGCTTGATATTCACTATATTCGAAACGGTAACGTATGTTATCGTCGGTCTCTAAGATAACTTTGAAACCAGCCAACCTCTGATACCAGCCAACCAGTTTGAAACAAGCCAACCACTGATAAAGATAAGTTATTAGAATCAACAAGATGCCAAAATAACTAATTAGTCTTATCCAACTTAAAAACGGATTTAAGCGAATTGAAATGGCAATATATAGTTGAATGATTGCTAAGTGATCTTGAAAAATACGAGAGAGATGGAAATGGAACAAAAATCGTAAAAAAATAAAATTAAAAAAATTACCAATTATTTTTATTGTGTTATTTATGTATATTATACATAAATGTACAACGCCCTCGAGCAAACAATTTAGTAATATGCTATGATAAAGTTTTTACGTATCGTTACACATTAAAATAAAAACATGTTTTCGTGTTTGAATGGTAAATTCCTATTACCGTAGTATAGTAAACGCGAATGCTATAATTTAATAGCTTTATCTTAAGCAAAATCAACCAAGTAATGGGATCAAACTATGGGTACAATCTAATCTATGGATAAAAAGTGGTAGAGTAGAGCCACGCTGCAGCTATATGGTGGTTGTAGCATGAATGGGTCGGCTCTAGAACCATGCTCTCATATAACACCAGCATTAATTAGCAGATTAATGCTATTGTGTTTTGTATTGTGAGTTAAGAGAACCGGAGGCCATTTTACTGGGAACGCGGTAATCCATCTTTATCCTCAGGGGTGACAGCGCACCTGCATTTTGATTCTTAATCAAGTCTATGGGCCTCACAATCCATTTCCCATAAGGTGGAATATGTACTTGTTTATTACCCTTATTGTATAAAAAAATCTAACGTTACTTAATAAGAATAATAATATATTTTTAAATATATGATGTAACATTGACGTTTAATTTACAGTACCCGGTTGACCGAGCTTTGCTCGGTATTTTTCGCTCGATTTTTTTTAATTCGTGTGTTTTGGAGATTATATTTAGATACAAATTACATACTGATGAAATACGAATAATATTTTTTGATCTTAGCGACATAATAGAAAAAACTGAACTGGTTATTTGAATAAAAAAATCATGAGTGCAATTAGTTTAATTTAAATTTTCGTGTTTTTAAAAAATACTAAAAAAAAGGGCTCGAAAAAATAGATTTTCTCAAAAAAAAAACGTAACTTGAAAAAAATTAAAAAAAGTCGATCGGTCGGTCTGGGCTCGAACCATGGTATTACGATTTTGTGACCGCCCAATAGGTATACCAATTAAGCTATTTGTAGTTATTAATAAACTGTCAAAATTTACCTTCTTATTCTAACGATATTGTAGCAGTTTTTCATTGCCTAAAAACACGGACAAAAAGACATTTTCTAAAACACACAAAATTTTATGAAAATCGTTGGAGCCGTTTCCGAGATTCCGATTATATATATATATATGTATACAAGAATTGCTCGTTTAAAGGTATAGGATATATATACGAGTACATTTTCTGTTTTGGTACGGTATGGTTAGAAAATAATAGATATAGAGAAAGCTTTAAATACTGTTCAGATGGTTTTAATATCTCAAAATTATATACGTTTATAAATTACTATCGATCCGAACCAGCTTCGAACGGATGACTTGGATCTCAACAAATAAAACCGCACCAAAATTCATTGCGTAGTTTAAAATATCTAGACGTACAAGCGGCAGGAATCGATGTTGTTTTATGCTATGTATATGTGTGTTCTGCTGGAAAACCACGCCAAACATCGTAAGTTTTTACTTTTGAATGGATTTTATTCTTTATTTATATTGCATTATGATCTAATAAGTCAACGGGGAGTGGTATTTTATTTTTTTCCATTTTTTCATAATAAAAACAGCTTTTGATGTAAAATGTCACCTGACTAACCCGTCACTTGGGTCACTCTGGTGGTTACACAAGAGACATTTGGTGAGACATCTGTGTTGCATGTAAATTAAACGGTTGAAATACTCACTACATGTTATTGTTATAAAGGAGTGATAAACGGAACAAGGTTTTGGTTTTGCTGTGTTCAGTAATGGGTCTTTGTGCTTACATAGCTTATTTTGTTTTAGATATGAAAAATGCCTCTTACAAACGCAGAAAAACAAAGACGTCATAAAGAAAAATTAAAACAAGATCCAGAGAAATATAATGCGTACAAAAAAAAAGAAGAGAGAAAACTATCACGCCAAAAAAAGACTGATTAAAGATTTAAACCCTAAAGAGAGATATAACGCGAGAGTGATTTGGAGATTAAGAAAAAAGACTCAAAGAGAACGAGCGCGAAATCTTAATAGAGTTCTTGATGTAAAGCCACCTAGCTCTCCACGATTACAAGAGGATAATTTGCAAAATAATGTTGTACAGAATAAAAATGATGATATTGATCGAGAACAAAATTTGTGCGCTTCCCCTACAGTTAGCGAAGCGTCAAAAAGAGGAAGAAAGAAAGTAAAAAGGGACAGATCTAAAATTTATCGGGAAAACATTATATTAAGGAAAGAAAACCAAAAACTCAAGCAAAAATATGAAAAGTACAAAAAGAAATTACAGAGAACAACGAAAACACTCGAAAAGAAGGAAAAGAAAACTACTGAGAAGGAGAAATATGAGACTCTAAGTAATGCAATAAAAGATAAATATATCAAACTTAAAAATCGAAGAGACAAAAATACTATTAAAAGTTTTTTTATTTAAAATTGAAGTGCTTGTAGGGTTTGGAATCTTTTCGATATATCTAAACCAACGGCAGGGCGAAAAGAAACAGTAACAAAAAACAAAACTAAAGTTCAAAAGAGGTTTTTATTAGATACAATGAAGAATCTTTATCACACATTCAAGCAAGGAAACTCTGAAACTAAGTGTTCATATTATTATTTTACAAGAAACAAACCTTTCTACGTAGTCAAGCCATCCATTGACGGTCGCGAAATGTGCCTATGTAAGACCCATACTAATCCAGTGTATAAAGCACAGGAATTAAAGAAACACCGAATAATAGATACAGATAATTTAAACACTCTGTTCATGTCTACAGTGTGTGCTCCTAAACGTCAATCCTCTTTGTACGGTACTTGCCAAGAATGTTGCAACAGCGAAATTACATATGATACAAGTAGAGTCAAAGAAACGATTTCATGGAATGAATGGATTAGAAAAGAAGTAACGTATAAAAAAGAGGAAAAGACAAAGAAAATAATTAAAAATGTAAAAGAAACTCAAAAAGGAACAGTCAAGAATTTAATGAAAGAATTTAAAAAAAGAAATTAAAGCACTGAAAAAACATGTTTTTAATATTAAAACACAGTACAAATGTTTCCGTGAAGCTATTGATAATATAAAAGAAACGGAGGTGGTGGCTGTAGCTGACTTTAGCGAAAACTATAACGGAAAATATCATGCAGAAATACAAACACATCAATTTGGAGGATCAAGAGAACAAGTGTCACTTCACACAGTTGTAACATACGTGAAGGGTGAGGGTAACAAACCTAAAATAGACTCTTACTGTACAATATCTTCATGCACTAATCACCAACCAGCAGCAATCTGGACACACCTAGACCCGATTTTAAAAAATATCCGAGAACAATACTCAGAAATAAAGACAGTCCACTTCTTTTCCGATGGTCTGTTTAGCCAATATCGATAGAAGCAAAATTTTTATTTATGCTGCACAAAAACATTTGATTACGAATTTACTGCAGTCACCTGGAATTTCTTTGAGGCCGGCCACGGCAAAGGCCCTGCCGATGTAATCGGAGGTTTTCTTAAAAGAAAAGCAGATGAAATTGTGGCAGCCGGAACAGATGTTCCAAAAGCAGAAAAGTTTTTTGAGGTTTTGAAAGGTAAAAGTAAGATTCAACTTTACATGGTTATTCAGGAAACTATAGAAGCTACTGGAGAACAGCTACCTAAAAACATCAAACCTCTTCAAGGTACATTACAGGTGCATCAAATCTTCACGGAGATTTGTGGCGAGTTGAAATATAGGACCTTGGGATGTTTTTGCAACAGAAGTTTTTGTGGATGCTTGCAGCCTAAAATCTATCGACCTTTAAAAGACTCTCTTCATAATATTCTAGATATGAATGTGGATGAGATTGATACTGATATGTCAGACTCCGGTTCTGATAATATACCTTTGAGCAGACTACAACATGAGAATGAAATCAATGTCCCCGATTTATTTCAGCCTCGCAAACAAACAGTTTACGATTTAATTTACTCGCCAAAAGATTATGATAATGAACCTGATAATGATACAAACAGGTTCCTCTGGGAATAGAATATCATATTTCGCAGGAGATTATTTGCTGGTGAATGTGCGCAATCTCAAAGGAAAAACATACAGATATGTCTGTATAGTTGAGTTGGAATGACGAGATAAGGGTTATATTTTCCGGTGTGTCAAAAATGGCAAAATATTTCGTTTAGATAAAAGCGATATATCTTATATAGATCATGTTGACATAATATCTCGTCTACCTAAGCCTGAGATTGAGACCAAGCGTGGTCAAACATACTATAAATTTAAGGATATTGTTGATGTTTTTGAAAAGTGATTTGTTTTGTTACGTACATGCAAGTACTAATTAATAAGTATTTTGGTAGCTGATTATTAAGGTGTTTGTAGCAATTTTAGATTATTGTTCTTCTGTGATCATTAATACTTCTATATCTATTAAAGTAAATTTTGAAAAGACTATTTGACCTAAAGACTGAACTATCGCATTTCGTAAGTTTAACTTTTGTTAATTAAATACATAAATAATATAGGTATAATAGGTATAGTTAGTATAAAAAAAACTTAGTCTGATCAAAAAGTCTTTACTGTGGAATTTGAAAGCCTTGGACAATAGTAATAAGATCTGTTCTCTAGTAGTAGACACTAGTAATAAGACTGATGAAATTTGCCTCTTGGGTCACCAAATGTCCCTAATTTTAAAAGTGGTTTTTCTGTGTTATTTCCTCTTGGACATGCTTAATTATAAGTTCTTCATTACGGTTAGCTAAATTTCGGAACCAGCTGAAGTTTCCAGCTTTAAATTATGAAAAAAAAGCGTTAGTAAAAGGGAAAGTGAAAGTAGTGAAAAAAGTTAAATTTCCATGGGGCTATTACAAACAATTACTATTTTGTTTCACCATAGTCTACCCTATAAGTAGGGAGGTAAGAAGATATACAGTCCACTAAGTACATTACTGACGTCTGGACCGGGGCCATTCCTTAGGGCCCGTAATCTTAGTTGTCAACTACTTTCTTTGGAGAGAGCGGTCAAGGTTGTAAGTCGAACGTCTTATCAGGGATCACGCCCACCACCTTGATTCCCGAACCCGATGAGGTGTGGTATTGGAAAGGGGCAAGTAATTGGTTGATCCCTGTTGAGAGCGTGAGATCAAGAGCGAGATGCTTCTTCTCAATGATTATCAGTTATTTTGTCGAATAAAGAGGAGAAAGACATGGAGTTGGATGGAGCTTCTGTGGACACGATTCTAACGAAAATGCGGCAAAAAGTGCGTGACGTAATCCGCGAAGAGTTTATGTATTCTTTTCTGACAAAGTAGATGATTTAACTATGCTAATCTAAGAATACGACATAAAGTTAATTATTAGAAAACTAAAACATGGAACCTATTTTCACAGTATTTTTACGAAAATTCGAAAGGAGATCGATAATTAAGAATATTTTATACACTTTTAAAGTTTTGGCTATTTTTATCAGAACTATAATTGCTTCTGCTCTTGAAGTACATAATAGGTTTTGCTATTCGTTTTTGATTTGTATACTGAATTAATTAATAAGAAAAGAAGTCGGCGGCACTTTAGTACAATATAAAAATCCTTATTATTATGTATTTGTTTTCTTATAACAAGTGTATAAAATGCAAAGGAAAAAGGTATGAAAAATATTACATGGTACTTATTATTATATACAACCAAATTATTATAATTTATACAATTATGAATAACATCCCCGTGGGTACAAACGTGACAAGTAACATTATTAAAAGTGCAATTGTTTAATTAACATAACGTTGTTGAACAATTTTGATTTTCTTACACAACCTACAGCGAGAGCAAATTTTCCAGATGTATTATCATTACACTATTATATAAATATGCGGAAATATGGGATAAATGAAAGCATCCATTCTCGTAATGAATATATCATTTCATACTTGTGAAATCAAATCCTTGATTAAAATTACTTTTACCTTAAATTCCCATGCAGTCGCATGCGTCTGGCAAATCCCGAGCGGTCGTATGTGACCGCTCTATATTTTTCTATGAAGAAGTTTAGCATTATAAAATCTATACAAAATTCTCTATCCTGTGGTCTAAACAAAAGTCAGGTTTACAGGCTTCATTGCTAAAAGATTTTATTATATTTTGATTATAAAAATCCTACCAAGCGGATGTCGACAGCGTGAAATCACAATTATTTCAACATATATTACTCGAAATTTATACGTAAAAATATAAATTATGTTCACACAAAAATTTTTATAACACTTTTATAATAAAACACTAATAAAACACTAGAAACATCCAAAAATCAACACAACAACATCCAAATGTAAATGGAGTACGTAATGAACGTAGAATATAAATTAATATCCATAGACTAACTGTTTTTTTTATTCCACTAGAGGATAGAAAATTTCATACTGATTTTATGATGCCAAACTTCTTCATAGAAAAGTAGTCTTGAAACATAAGTGTTTATGGGTTAAATTACTGTGGGTGGGTCAAATTCGGTTAAATTTGACCTCTTGAATTTTGACGGAATATCGAAGTGGTCAAATTTGGACGCTTGGCGTTTGAGAGGTTAACCTTTCCGAATGAAATGTTAAATTGTCCGTGAAAACAAACCAGTAGAAATTGCAAATATGACAACAAACATCTCTCGACGTTAAGTGACAACACTGCTACATCAGTGGAGTCAATCAGCGCCTTGCAAAGAGGTGTGAGCGCCTCAGCAGATTTAAGGGTGCAAAGGCCTGTGTGTGCTTATAGCCGCATATGATACGGTGCCGGGTCTGGGAGTTTCCCATTAATTGACGCCCAATTTATGGATGATGGACAAGAATATAGTGCGCAAAAGACCGTTTCCTGGAGGTCGCCAGGGCGTGAACTGGCGTTGGACAAAATATCATGCGGGCCACTAGCCGAGCGTGGGCTGCTGCAAGACCATCTAGCAGCCCCCGCATCCACCATCTCAGCCAGAGGACTTGCTGTTGGCTGGTTTTCTCGGATTCAGCATGCGGCACGCGCCGCTGTTGGAGCATGTCGTCGCATGCGTTGGTCGAAATATATGAACGCAAATGCATTGCGGGCGTACTTTAGGGCAAAAGGGGAAGTAACTGTAAGGTTGGCGTATCGGGCTCGGATGCATTGCTTTTTGGCAGAGCTGCAGCAATCTCTAACCGTCAATGAGCAAAACCTTTTAGACCAAGTTCGGTACATCCTGCGCTCCAACACTACGAACTGAGGCTTTTCTCTCATCGGATGAAAATGCTATGGCTGGGAATGCGGCGCAGTACGCCTTTCTAAAATCGACCGCAACTTCGAAAAAACCCGAACAACAAAAAAAAAAATAACTTAACCGCTAACCACATTGGAAACCAGCCGGGACCTTTGCGAGACGGTCTCAATTCTTTTTGGCGTCTTACTGGTAGTCTGCCGTGTTATTGGTGCCAAACTTGTCACGGCTGGACGCACTAATAGACAAAGTAGCACCGTCCCAGCCTGGAGAAAAGGTATTGAGCACCGTGTCGCAATGGCAAGGGTCCTTATCAGCAGATCAACAAGCTTCAGGTCCGGTAATAATACCCGGCCGAGAGTTGTGCACACCGTTATAATGGCGTTTGCTGGGACAAATATCAGTTTATCTCAGCCGGGTATCACGCAGAAGCTAACGAAGCGCATAGATGACCGGAAGCAAAATATCGCTGCCTGGGGAAAAAGGATTCGACGATATACCGAGAGGTTAGGGTAGTTCAATCAGAATCGTCACTTCCAGAGTGATGAAAAGTGGCTCTTAAATCATTGGAACGACCAAAGGTATGTGGAGCGGGCCCAGTACCGGATCAGGCCGATACTTTTGCATTCTGACGGGGCCTGTGGTCGGAGCCCGTAAACTACAGCAAGGGCCCTTAAATCGAAGTTGTGGTGAGCCAGAGTGTAAGTGTTATATCTATGGATCCCGTCACCATAACGCCGGAAGACGTGGCTGAGGCGGTCTGTAGGGCCCTGAACTGAAAAAGTCCGGGACTCGATGGGCCGCATCACTACTGGCTGTAAGGGGTTTGTGGTGTGTCACGCTGTGCTCGTCGGATGGTTTCAAGAGGCTCCCGATCTGAAGTCACTCCCGAGCCTCTTCACTACTGGGATGACTCACTTGGTTCATAAAGATCAGGATACCACAGACCCGAGCAAAAACCGCCCTATCACGTGTCTACCCACTATATTATACAGATATTGACATCAATTTGGAGCACGAGAATCACTCGTCACTTGGATTTAAATTAGGTGACAAGCTAAAAATGGTGTCGGTGGAACTCAATGACGCGGTCATTGGCAAAGTGGTTCAGCGCAACCGGCGAAACTGAATAGATTACAGAATATTATTTTATATATATATATATATTAAGAACATTCGACTCGGTGCCCCATACAAGGCTAAAGAGGGTTCTTGAGCTGTACAAGGTTGATACAGTACAGTACAGTTATAGGCTTCCTCGAGCAGTGTATGTGGCAGTGGAGTACGATACTTTGTCATCTGGGCTGGCGGATGACGGCTACTAATAACCACATAAGGATAAAAAAGGTATCTTTCAGGGCGATTGTCTGACTCCAATCTGGTTCTTCCTATCTCTGAACACTCTCAATACCTTACTGGAGAGCTTTGGTAGGTAGGCGATCCAACGTTTTCTATATGGATAATGTCAAGTTGTTTGCCTTCAATCAATACCATCTTATGGAATTGCTGAATATCACTTGTAAATTCAGCAATTCCATCGGAATGGAGCTGAGGACGGACAAGTGTGCGCTTCTCCATGTCGAAAGGGATGGGGTTTCCAACTCTGAGGGCGTAGTCTTACCTACGCCCATCAACATAAGGATCCTTTCCTAGGCAGAAATACACCTATACCATGGTATGTCATAGAACATAGCTATCGATGAGGTAGACATGAAACAATAATTTTTTTTTTTTTGTTTTGTGGTGTGGGAATTCAGTTTTTTGTTTGCGATGTGTTTTATGCACGCTTGACCAAAGTTCTTAA